GATAATCTGAACATTACCTAGGTAATTTGAGAAATGGAATAATTTTCGCAGCTTTAACGGATCACCCTAGTTAATCTGCAGATTAGCTAGGTAATGCGCACATTAACGGATTTCGAGCTTTAGCGGTAACATATACACAGAAATATTTTAATTAAAATTTAACTGCAAATAATAGAAATAGTCATTAATAGTACACAGTTAATATTAATATGCATATGAATTTGCACATATAATATCTTTATAAAACTCTGTTATTTAGACTAGCATTGTTGCTATACCATAAAACTTGTCATTTCTGATAACTCATCACCTTAGTCCACATTGAGTCTGTAGAACTCTACTGTACAGTACTGTACTGTACATTATATTCACTTCTCTCATTTCATACTTTCCTTTTATATTGATTAATAACCTAGTCAACAACTTCCTTTTATTCATTTTATTTCATTTAAAATCATGATTAACAGGCATGTAAGTGTTTTGTTGTACTAATGTTATTTGGGAAAATTTGGATAGCATAATTGGGTTATGCTGAAAAAAGATACAAATTTCAACCATAAGAAATAATGGAATGTTCTAAATAGATTTTCAGAAATGAAGTACACTTGCAAATTGGAGTTATATCATATTGAAAACTATTTAAAAAATAACTTGATATTTCATTTTTTTTTTTTTTAATCTTTCAATTCCATTACCTCATCTGTATGTTTGCTGTCCAATTAAATTTATCAATTGCTAAAAATTACTTTTTTCAATTTAATGCAAGTTTTATTGATTATGGAAGCAAAGTGATTTCAAATTATGAAATATGTTAAGATATTAATCCTACATATAAAGAATAATTATTCTTACTTGAATATAAACTTTCAAGTAAGAACAATCTTTAAAGTTTCATCTTGTTCAAATTAATCGAATGAGATAAAACTTAAATGATTCTAATATTTTTGTTTTATTTCTATCATAATTAAATTATTGTGTGTTATACTTTTGTTTGATTTAGGCCAACATTTTTCAATTGAAAAATATTTTTTAAAGTTTACTTCACTCAATCAAACAAATCAAATGTTTATTGATCCTTGATCAAGCTCTTTACAATGAGGGGTAATACACTTTAACTGCTTGTTCAAAGAAAACATATATTGAACATTGAAAATTATAATCAAATTAATTAATATGATAATAATTCTAAAGACAATTTGAGTTTATTACAATGACATGATTGACAAAATTGATTCTATAGAATAAAAGCTAAAAGCTGAATAAAAATTGCAACTACTGAATTAATTATTTAATCAAGATCAGACTAAATATTGTACATTAACTCAGATGGTTTTTATTTCATAAAACAAGTAAAACGGCAAAACCGTATTTGGGACAAGTCTATAGTGATTCTGCTTAGGACTTGTCTCCAAGACATAGTCTTGTCTTGGAGACATAGTGAGTCTCCAAAGACAAGACATGTCTCAGAGACTCACTACTAAGCAGAATCTCTTTGACACTCAAGGCAGGTCTCTTTCTCATTCTCCAGTCTTCTTTGGTATCATTGGGTGTGATCATTGAAACTTTTCCAGCCACGATGCATTTTCGATGAAATTAACCTATCCAATTTCGAAATTTCTCTCAGTTGCGTGTCAGCCCAGGTTGAATTTTTGTCGATGTGTAATGAAAATTTCCCATTTTTGAAAAAAATAATCATAGTTATTGTATCGTCTGAAATTATCTTTTTATTTTGCCCAAACAATATACAGTTTAACCCGATTATAAAGTCAACGGATGTAACAACAACCCTAATATAACATCAAATTTTTATCAGTCCCACAATTTTACTATACTAAATAATGTTAAAAAAAAACCACTTGTAATTACATAAAACTGTTTTAATGTCATATTTGAAGCACTCCCAAATTTACAAAATTAGATTACAAATTTTATTTAACATAGAAGAAACTATGTGTTCAGTCCTAAGGTCAGAGTTCACTTTTTAGAATGACTGTGGGTGGTACTCTCCCCACCTGACTTCGGTGGGGTGAGGTGCCTGTTTGCCTGTTTGTAGAAGAGGGTCTCCATTTTGTATTTTATTCTGACTCAGTTCTTGGTCCCCTGACTACCTACAAGTCTGGATTTTTTTTTATGCACAAATGATTTGGGCACCTAATACTCTGTGCCAAATACTCTTGACATGTACTCCTTCATACCTCTATGCTGGTAACATAAAATGGCAGTATGATTTTATAAACAAGACAGTCTTGTCAAAAACTAAAAAGTTCAAGCTATCTTTTTAATAATTTTCATATATTAATATTCATAAAACTTTTTATAAGTGATTTGTTTTCTAAATTAAATTCAAAGCATAGCTTCTCCATTTGGATTTTCAGTATTCCATTTGTAAATGAATTTTCATATAAGATGGTGACACTTTGAAAAGAAAAATATGAACATCTTAGTGCAATCTCTGCTTAATTTAAGGTCTTTTCATTCCTAAAAAAATAAATAGGTCATAAATGTATTTCATTATTTTTTTTAAGACAGGAGAAAAATTCTTGGTAACCATAAATCATTCAGTTTTAAGTTTTATTTATTTAATGTATTGCATAGACTAAAATCAAATATAATATATAAATATATTTTTTTTTATTTAATAATTCAATCTGTAATAAAGTAGTGTTCACAAATGTTTATAAAAAAAAATATATGTGAATAAAGTTGTTTTATTAATTTACTAAATGTGATTTGTATAGGAAATGACTTTTAAAAATTGATTCAAAAATTTAGAAGTTTTCTATTTCATTTATGTGAATTTGATAATTAGGTATCAAAATAAGATAACAATAATAATAATAAGCAGAGCTTAAATTATATTTTACTCTTCATGAAAATCACCAATTCTATAAATTATTTTATTAAACTCTATTTTATAATTTAATATGTCTAAAATTCAAGAAGTTTAATTTGTATGTTCTGTTATCAATCTAAATCTCTTAAAGCTAAATTTTTTATGTTGTATTAGTATTCCAAAATATTTGTATTTAATTATAATTGTATTTCATCTTTCTCCTGATAGGGATAAATTTATTCTGCTGAAAATGCTTGCAATTTATTAGTTGTAATGTGTTTTAAATAAAAACACATTACAACTAATAGAACATTAAAATAGCACCAAAAGCTAATTTACATTTACTTAAGTTAAAATGCAAAACTATTATTTCTTCATACAATATGAATTATTAAAGGAATAAAGTAGGTTTCAATTATTAAAATCTGGTCCGAGAATTACAAACCATATTTGGTTTTTCAAAATTATTCACATTATTTGAATTATTTTTCTAACTAAATTAAACTTAAAATACATAAATAAAATCATAAATCTATTTTAAATCTAACTTTTACAAAAGTAGATAACTTTAAAAATAGTTACTATATTATCAAATATTAAATGCACTAAACCAACAACTTATCTGCATCAAATACTGCACACACTATCATAAATCAATATTTCTAACTTTTGGAAGCAAGTTAAATATATGTAATCTGACATTCTCAACATATTTAATAAGTCACATTAAAAAATAGCTGTTCTTAATTCAATAAATTTAATTTAAACCATTCATAAATGAACATTCTGCTACAGTTAAAAATTATTATTTGTTGTTATTGAAAATTTAATTATACTTTAAAAATCAGGAAATCATTTTTAAAATTATCACACATAGTTTAAGTAACTTTATTGGTCAACAAAATTGTTACACCACAGTTGAAATATAACTGTGATGTAATCTTCCTTCTTGACATTGATGAGATTTGTAACATAAATTTAAGACATTTACGTATTGTTGTTTTAAATATTTATAGACTATCAAACGTAACAATGCATGGGAATAAATGTAATCAGAGAAGAAATACAGTAGAACCTCGAAAACTCGGCTCTTGATAACCCGGCACTCCGGATAACTCGGCCACACCCTGGCAGGGCAAAAAAATCCTTAGTTAATTATTTCATTATAGACAGCTTTATAAAAGTATAAAAGCTCTCATAAAGTATTTTTCTGTGGTCTGTCTTATCAGGTAAATTACTGTACACAGTGTATTCATTAATTTTCATTTTCATGTAGTAAAGGCTCTATGCCTTCATAAAGGACGTACTTTTCCTTTGTTTAAGGGTATTTGGGCAGTTTATTCTCTATTATATTCTCAAGTAAACAATACATACAAGTACAGTACAGTATTTTCTGAGGAAACACTCTTACTTATTTTTTTTTAACCCATTCCCGATAACCCGGCATTTTCACAAACTCGGCCACCCTTCGGTCCACATTAGGCCGAGTTTTCAAGGTTCTACTGTATATGTAGATTGTGAAGAAATTTTTAAAAAATACATGATTTCACAAACATATGAAATAAACATTTGCTGCTATGAAATCAGTTTTAGTTTAATTAATTGCATTTAATTCTTTGATCAATATTTTCACATTTTTATATTTCAATAAGTCAGAAATTTTGAAAAATACGTAGAAAAACTTTTCTTCTCCCATAAAGAAAACAATTGACTATTGTTAATTAAATACTATTAGTTAGGTTGCGGCTGAAGTTTTCATCTCTAAAATGTGAACGTCGAACGCCGATATCTTGTAAGCGGCACTTGATGTTCAATGTTCACACAAAAAGATGAAAACTTCGGCTGCAACCTTGCTATTGACTATGTCGAAAATCACGATTAGAAATAAAAGAGGAGATCTAAACTCAGCTTATATGTAAATTTTGAGAAGTATGTATTTTATGTATAACTACACACACACAAATTACCCAAAAGAAACTTCTACCAGATCTTGTTTCAGTAACCAAGATTAGATTTTGCCAGATTTCAAACTGAAAATGAAAGAAACTATCTAAGTAGAAAAATGCTTGGAAATACTTAATTCATGCAATTAATTTTCAATCATTTAATATGTTGTTAACAATGACTATTTAATGGGAGAAATTTGATAAAAAGAAAAATAAATAACCTTTTGATTCTAAGTAAACATCTCGCCGACGGTGTTTCTTTACTCCAGTCATCACTAAAAGTTGGATCCCATTTAATGTCTGTTGCAAATACAGAAAGAGTATCATTTTCTTCGGAATCGTTGTTGAAATCACTGTTACTGCTTGACGCCATACTTTATAACAGTTTAAATAAATCACTGAATATACATCAGATTCATCCCACGTGTTTCGAATTAAAACGTAATACAGAAAATAAGTTTATAACTAAAACACTACTGGTTCGCTAAAATTCAGCCTACAGCGCCCTCTAAGCAATTTTAAATTGTCGTTTTTTGTAATTGATAACAATATTCAATAATAATATGTAAAAATATCTACTAATATAAAAAATTTCCAAATATTTAACTTAAATTATAAATTTTATATCTTCGTTTAATAATTTAAATCTCTATTGATCAGTCGCTTCTGTAGGTTCGGCTTGTACCCGGCTGTACAAACCGAATCTACAGAAGCGATTGATCAATAAGCTAATGCTTTAATTAATGTAATCTAATATGGATGTCAGAAAAACCTCAGGAATTTTTCAGGAAGTAGTTCGTCTCGAATATTCGGACCCTGATTTAATCATCCGATCTCCTCATTGTGGGCCTGGCTGATTCCATAGTAGGTATGAAAAAAAGAACTCTTAAACCTTTAATGCCCATGGAACGAAAAGGATGTCCGAGTGGTCAAGGTGAAAGCCTACCGCTCTAGGAGACCTGGAATCGCACCAGACGGATCGAAAAATTCCCAGGAATTTTTTTTAGGGGATGGTCCGTCCGGATATGTCGGTCTCGTCCCTCACCACTAGGCCGCCCCATTGTGAACCTGGCCGAACGCATAATGAGCTTGCTAAAAGAGGCCCTCTCAGTGCCAACAGTGCGGAAAGAGTTTAAAAAAAATGGGGCGAAAAAGAATCAACAACAAAAATAAATACAGTGGTACCTAGTAGGTAGAACGCTAAATTCGGCAAAAGTTCACTTCAAAGTTTGACCTGTGCTCACAGTGAAAAACTGAGTTCGAAGCGTAAAATAAACTTCTAAACAAAGGGTACGTTCGTAAAGTCGAACTAGTTAAATGAGAATGACGTCATCGTTATTCTTATTTCGTTAGACTTTTCGAACGATTCGTCTATAACTAAATACTGTAGGTGTTTCTAAAATCGAAGATATGAATGTTGCTAGTGCAGCCTTATCCGAAATATTTTTCTTAGATTGCTTCGGATGGACAGTTATTTCTATCATTTCACCTTTTAATTCACAATTTAAACACTCGAGTAGATTTAGAAACATCGATATCGTCGGGCGCCATTTTCTTAACGAAGTGAACTAACTTTCCTTAGTCACAGCCTACAATAAGAACAGCCTAGCCATTTGCTTTGAATACGTGTTTCGATTCCTGAGGCGGTTTGCACATAATCCTCACTAGGAGCGCTGATGACCGGACTATTCGATCAAGTGATCAACGGTAATTCTGTTGCAAAGACGTGCTTATGATAGATTTAAAAAAAATTAAAATTTCGAAAATATTTTATATCAAGATACTGGTGAATTTTTAAAAGGTTTGATTTAAAATGGTTCATTGTTCGGTGCCATTTTGTACATCAAACAAATCGAAAAAAGATGGAACAAGTTTTCACGAATATCCTGCGGAAGAGAATTTACGTTTAAAATAACATCTATGCTACATCCATTGATGCTACTTTTGCAATTATTTTATATGCTGTAAGGGTTCGTGCAAAAACTATGTGTCCCCATATTTCCCAAATCTTACCTTCCCCTTCCCATTGTGATCTTTTGTGGCTTTTATAAAAACCCCCTAAAAAAAGCACATGGAAAATTTCAACCCCCCGAAAATTTATATATTACAGTACTTTCTCTTATCGAATTTCTCGGATATTTCAAAAACAGTAGAAAGACATTGCTAAAAACTACATGGGTGTATTTGAAAAGCACTTAATTTCAGCTTTTTAAATACAAAAAAATTAAATACATATAACTCCCCCTTAATGAGAACAAATACGGTTTTAGCACGACTCCTAATTGCAATGAGATTAGGCTATATTTTTTAAACTTTTGTACAATTTATCTATTTATGCTTACAAATTATTTATAGATGGTATAACTAATAGATTTACTGTATAAGCTAACTCTTTTTAAAATTTACAGATGAAAACAGTTCAAAACTTTGGAAGCTAAGTGACTGGTCAGTTGTCTGCAGTAAGCACTTTCTGGAATCAGATTATAAACCATGGTGAAAACTGGGATGGTGAAAACTGATGATTTTTGTAATACTGTATTTTTAAAAATTTAAATTTTGGGTACGTTCGTAAAGTCAAACGAGTTAAACGCGTAAGGAATCGTTCGAATAGTAGTAGTCTCGCTCAGTGCGCATGCTCTGCGATGATGACGTTTCGAACGAAACTCTAACGAAGTTCAAGAAGGAAAGAGTTAGTTTACTTCGTTAAGAAAATGGCGCCCGACGATATCGATGTTTCTAAATCTACTCGAGTGTTTAAATTGTGAATTAAAAGATGAAATGATTGGAGTAACTGTCCACCCGAAGCAATCTAAGAAAAATATTTCGGATAAGGCTGTACTAGCAACATTTGTATCTTCGATTTTAGAAATAGCCATTTAGTTCTAAACGAATCGTTCGAAAAGTCAGACGAAATAAGAATAACGATGACGTCATTCTCGTTTAACTCGTTCGACTTTACGAACGTACCCTTTGTTTATAAAATGTTAATATTAATAAAAATTAATGTAATAAAGTAACAGTGAACATGTTTTTGTATTATTTTTACTATGTTTCATTACTTAAAACAATTGTAAGAATATAAAATATTTTTAAAGTTGAAAATTGTCTTAATGTGGCCAGAATAGGTACAGTACATCTACCCTATTAATTATTGCATTTAACCGTCTAGATAATTATTGATATGTCTATTGTTTTAGATAGTTCTGCAGAAATCCGGAAAAAATCTTAATTAAAAAAATCAATAACTTGCTATATCCTAAGTTTGAATTTCTGTTTTGTTTTACGAATATATGACAGCATATAGCTAGGATAACTTAATCAGTGTGTTGTTATGGTCCGTTGTGTGGCTCCATCTAGCGTGAGAAAATATTTTCGCTTGGACACAACACCTCAATAGGATTTCCCCCATTTGACTAGGCTGTTCTTATTGTAGGCTGTGCCTGAATCTAGTTTCAAGAACTCTCTTGAGTCGATTGCGATTGAACCTCGTTTCAGTCGAGATTCAAACGGTCGAGGGAGGTTGCACCAAGGCGAACGGGGTATAAGGCTCTAGTTTAGTAGTGTTACAGAGTATAATACGTATATTTTAATATATTTTTTAAAAGAAACAAAACCACTGAGAAATGTTACGTGTGTTTAACAACGGGTTCGGAAAACTTTGAAAATGTTAACAACGGGTTCGGCCGAACCTGTGCGAACCCGC